AACGAATATATGCTTCACTTGGCATATTTGGATTAATGATTGAATTAGTTCAGTTTTCTATATGCACGAAATTATTCGGTTGATTAATTACCATACCTTCCATAATCTTTCAAAGATATTTTATGTTCTTAATTGTAGTTGATTTGGAAATATAAGGACCTATTTTTCTTTTTTCATTATGGGTTTGCAATAACTAATAATTAATTATAGATAGGGAAAATGACTAAAATCCTTTTATTGTTTAAAAGTGATCATTTAATACCCAAATTTTTCAGAAAATATTTATTTTCTTAAAAATAGTAAACTCAACAAATAAATATCAGTTTTTTTAAAAAAAATTGTTTGTTTTGTGCCCTATAGTTGTGGATGATTGGTTCGGCTGTAACTGTAGATTAGTTGCTATAAAATTTATACTGTAAATATTTTTGCTGTACCTCTAGTTTTGTTTGCTGTGAGAAAATCCTATAATTTTTAAAGCCATAAAATAGTTGTTTTAAAAAAAAAACTAAAACATGACCAAACAAAAAATCAAGTTTGTAAAGTCTAATTGGTAAGCAAATAGTGTAAATAACCTTTAAGATGTTGTATAAAAATTTTAAACCCCAACCAATCACACCCGTTAATTTCGTCAAATGATAATAACATCGTTGTTAAATTTCGTTAACATATGATGACATGGCATACGCAATTGAATAAAACCGATTTGTTTCACTTAACCGAGTCTACCATAAACCTTGATGACTTAAAATTAAGGGTTTAAATGGTAGACGTTACTGGATTGGTGGAACAAATATGAGTTAAATATTATTGAGTGGAAAACCAGAAAAGTTCCTCCAAATCCATTCCTCCAATTCTACTGCAAAATAGTAGAGGAACATTTTCCTCCAAAATTTGTTCATTCCTTCAATTTTTTTCGGTGGAATTAGTTGAATAAGTTTTCCACCCTTTTTAATAATCCAAATGGTAAAATATTAGAGGAATGTTGAATTCCACCAATTTTGTTCCTCCAAATATTCAACCGTTTGCACCCTAAGCATTTCGGTGATACATTACATGAAAAGTCAATTGTCATTACGTTTTTTTGTCTCAATTCGATTTTTGGAATAAAAAAGAAAACCTAGGTAACGACAACAACAGTTTGTAATGAAAAAAAAATGTTTACAACGAAGATGATTGAATCGAATATGACCAATACTTATTAACTTCTCAATCATACGGGAATCATAATGACACTATATATTCTAGTAAAAGCGCATAATAATTACGACAAACAACAAGCTTATATTTACACTTTCTAAGTTGTTTCTTCAATAATTCATACCCAAAGACATTTAAACGCAACTGTTCATTACATTTATACTCAATGTTGTTCGAAAATGTCATAATCATCATATCATTTCACACATTAGTAGAACCGAAAATCCACCTGAACCATTTTATTTTATGATACTTAATTATGGTACGACAAGAAAAAAAAATATGTAGGAACTAGG